AGAACTTCCATGTGATCCAGCAATCCCACTACCGGGTATGTACCCAAAGGAAAGGAAGTCAGTATATTGAAGAGATGTTTGCATTCCCATGTTTGTTGCAACACTCTTTACAATAAATGAGGTGTATATACACAATGGAATACTATTCAGCCATAAAAAAGGAATGAAATCCTGTCATTTACAGCAACGTGGTGGGCTTGGAGGGCATTATGTTAAGCGAACCAAGCTAGTAACAGAAAGAGAAATTCCAAATGTTCTCACTCATATATGGAAGCTAAAAAAGTTGATTGCATAGAAGTAGAGACTAGGATGCTGGTTACCAGAGGCTGGAAAGGGGTAGGTGAGATAGTGAGAGTTTGGTTAATGGATACAAAATTACAGCTAGATAGGAGGAATAAGATCTAGTGTCCTATAGCTTTGTAGGGGGACTATAACAATTTATCGAATATTTTCAATAAACTAGAAGAGAGGATTTTGAATTTTCCCAACACAAAGAAATGGTAAATGTTTGAGGTAATGAAGAAAAAGAAAGATCGGTGGTTGCCAGAGTGTCAGGGGAGGAGGGAGGGACAGAGGAAGGACGAATAGGTGGAGCACAGAATTTTTAGGGCAGGGAAACTACAAGGAGATTTTAAAATGTTTGTGGAAAGATAGAATTAAAAGATAATATGAGTCTTTCTATGAACTTTTTAAGTGCCCTTGTATTCTGTATGATACTGTAATGATAAAAACATGACATTGTGCATTTGGCAAAACCCATAGAAGTATACAATACAAAGAGGAAATCCTGTAAAACTTAGTTAATAGTTATCAATGTTGGTTCATAATTATAACAAGTGTACCACATTAATGTAAGATATTAATAATAGGAGAAACCATGCTTGTGTGGGAGGCGTCTGTGAATTGTCCATACTTTATGCTCAGTTTTTCTATAGATCTAAAACTGCTATAAAAATAGTCTGTTACTTAAAATGGTTATAAAGGCAAAGAGAAAGGAAAAAAGAATTAATTAAAAAATAAAAAAAAGGACAAGGCTCTTTTGGCCCTGTTTGTCTGTGATCATTGAATTCATCCTATAAAACCAGTATTTTAGATTGGGGAGGCAGGGAGAGGGGAAAACCTGGTATTGGTGTGTGCTGCGTTCTGGCAAATTAAGATTATTTAATTTAGCTAGATTCTGTTTGGTCTGCTATTTCTCTCTCTCACTGAGCCTGTATGAAATGAAATCCTGAACAATGCCTTTCTCACACCCACCCCAAGTAATTCAGAGCTGTTCACAACTGCTGTGCTAAACAGTAAGAGTATGGGGTTGTTTATCCTCTTTCACTTATATATGTGTGTGTATATATATTATAAATTACATATAATTTATAATAAATCAATATATAATAGATTAGTATACAATAGAGTAATATAAATTAACATATATGATTTAGTATGTCTGAAAGAAGGTACACTGTCTGATAACTAGGCTTTGGATTAGTTTATGCTGCCATGTGAGGTTTTTAAAACTAGGTGTTAAGAAGCACTTTTCCTGTAGTACTTTTCCTGGCAAACACAATAGAAGAGTAGCCTGTGGCATTGAAATCTAGGAGGTCTGTTTTTTTGCTTTGTTTTTTCCATTTTTGTTTTTATTCCCTTTCCATTACTAAAAATTGAGAGTTGGATTTTTCTTTTTTAATTGGGAAAAGCAAGTGCAATAGTAAAGCTTAGTCTATGAACATGTCTGCTGTGATTTGGGGGGGCGGGGGGGCAAAGCAAGGGCGTTGGGGGTCTTGATAGAGATCTTAAATTTTTTATGTGAGTGACAGCATTTGGATCTATCTTGTCTTCCATCTTCTTTGGAAAATTAGATTATCAAGGTGGTCTATAAACATAAGATTTAGAACAATTCCTTTTGCTCTTAAGCCAATAAACTTTAATAATATTTTTTCCTGTACCTAAGTACTTTTGTGCCATATGTGCATCAGATAAATGCCCCTTCATATGAAACAGAAGTCTAGTTTTTTATTTGGGTTTTTGCTTCTAGGCGTGTTTATTTTTCTAAAAATGCCAAAGTGCTTTGTATTTATTTATCAAATACCTGAAGTCTTAAGATCTCTAGCATATTTTCATGTACTTTCTTTTACCCTGCTTTGCTAGAATAAATGGAAACATTAGGTATTGGAGAATGATAACTTGAAAATATTATAATACTTTTATTATTGAAGATCAAGAATTAGTAGTGTTTTAGTGGGGAAATGGGTAGGGAGTGTGGAGGATCGACAGGCAGACAGACTCACTATATATTTAAAATAATATGTCACTTAATACATTGTGATGGGAGACAGTTTTTTTTTTTTTTAAACAATCTGTGTGATATAGTCTATGGTTGAGCAAGAACCCTTGTAAGAGTGTTTTTATTAATTTCTCTTTTTATTGATGGTGATATATGGGAAAACAGAAGTGTTGGTTGCAGGTCAGATGTTGTGATGTCGATGATGGAAACAGGGCAAGCTCTCCTGACTAGTATGAATCAGGATCTTGGCAGTGTCTTTCATAATTTATTAGCTTTTAAAATGGAGCGTTTTGCTTATGAAGCTTCAGGGAAACAAGGACAATAAGATATACAATTAATTAAAATCTTTAGAGCAACCAGCAGCATCATTAATAAAACATTACCCTCTAAAGCACATAAGAATGGCAGCTTACTCTCCCATCTCAGTGGGAAAACCCAGGATAAAAGAGTCTGTCTTTCATCATAGTCAATAAACTGAGTTTATTGGACTTGGGCTGGTAGATTTTCAAAGAAATAGGCTCACAGCCAGTATCCCACTCCTCCCCACATAAAACATCTGGATTAATAATAACAGCCGCCTGCCTTCATCTAGCACTTACTTCATTTGTATGTTCTTGTTTAATCCTCCCAAGAACTTTGCAGGGTAGATGTTAGGATTTTCATTATACTGATGAGAAAACAGAGACTCAGATCAGTTACAGAAAACTACAAAGTGTAGTCCCTGGACCAGCAGCATCAGTAGGAGCCGTTAGAAAGGTAAATTCACAGCCCCACCTCAGACTTACTGAATCAGAATTTCCAGGGGTAGAGCCCAGCAGTCTCTTTTTATATATATATATATACATTCTCCACATGATTTTTATGCTTGCCAGGGTTTGAGAACAATTGGTTTATAAGACCTTATGTGACTCGACTATGTAGTGGGAGCAGAATTTGAGATCTGGTATATTGGATTTTACTATTCGCAAGAACATCTTTATGCTACTTCTAAGCAGGGGTCTTTCAGAACTACACATATTTTGGGCTGCTATAGATTTTTCTTTTCTCTTTGTCCATCCTTAGCCCCTGTCTTCCCAAATAACTGCTTTGTCTAGTGTATGTGCAAAAAGAAACGATTTTAAAAGAAAGATCCTTTTAAAATCCTTCTTCAGAGAACCCCCAGCTCTGGTTTCTTAACCCATTTATGCCATTACATCTCTTTTCAGAAGGTTTTATTAAAATTGAGACATGACCAGTTCTGGTCACGCCTGTTTGAAAGCGCCTGAAATCATTAATGGTCTTTGCTGTGTCTTCACAGGGATAGCCTGGTGTTAGACAAACAGGTGCTAAACTAGTTCTTGTTGGCCAGTTGAGAGAATCGCACTATTTTCATCTCATCTCAGAGCTTGCTCTAGAATATTGGTATATTGTGCTGGTGAAGTGTGCAGACCGGTCACGGCACCTGGTTGTATATCCTGGTTTTCCCATTTACTGGTTACATGAGCTGGATATGTTATCCAACTTGTGTGAGTTGGATGTACTGAGACATTTGAGGATGGACATGTGTTCCCCTCCCTATGATGGTGACTCAGTTTGTCAGATGAGTCTGTCCATAGAACAGAGGAGCAGAGTGTGTGTTGTGGAAGGGGCTCAGGCTTTGGACTCTTCAGGTCCAGCTGTGAACATGCTAACTGATCCTCTCAGCTTTATCTCTAAAATGGATGTTAAAAGACCTACTTGTACAAGTTGTTATGAGGACAGAGGTCAGAGCTGAAGACAAAAGAATTGGAAGTCAGTGGTATGTCATTGGGATTAAAAGTGTGAGATTGAATGCAGTCACCTGGGGAAGGAATGAAGAGAAAATGGCAGGGCTGGAAGAGCATTGGGTGAGTGACTGTGACCCCCCAGGGCCCTGGCGCTGACACTTCATGGTGTAGCTGGGTGTCTGGAAGGTTCCCTTATTACAGCCTCAGCTCCCTACCAAGCCTGCCTCATAGAATGCCAGGAAGCTATGGGGGCCTTACATAAGAGAGCATTTTGATAATCACATAGCAGGGGTTCCAGACTCTCCTGACCACAGCCCAGATGACTACTCATGGGTGGTGGGCCAGGCTTCTTAAAAGTGCATGTGCCTGTACTGTGTGTGTGTGTGTTGGTGCAGGAAGATTGGCAAAATGAAGAGCGTGTTTTCTCTAAAGGGTCAGCTGCTACTTGGCTCTGCAGATTATTGCCCTGTGGGAATATGAATCTGGGGTTACCCGCTCATCTGGGTCATCTGACTTTTAAAGAAAAGTGAGGGGTCTGGATTTTTTGGTAACATTTTCAGGTTTTTTTTTTTTTTTTTTTTATGTTAGCACTTTGTGGCCCAAGTATCACACATCTGCGGGCCAGATTTGGCTGTCAGCTGCTGGCTGGTGGCCTCTGCTGCAGAGTGTTCTATAAACATGACCTGTTATTATTGGATGTCTTGGAGTTTATAATAACCTCCCAGGAGTCTTTACGTTGGGGCCCTTCTAGGAATACATCTGTGCTTTCTTTGCTACCCTCAAAATTACCCTCCCCCCCACAAGATATACCAGGCCTGTTTTGAGTCAGACTCCAGAGACTTCAAAATTTGTGCTGCATAATTTGGAGAGATTCTGAATCAGGTGTCCAGGCAGGCTGGGGAACTGTTTCCGTAGAGGGGCGATTTGGGAGATCAGCATTATGGTTTTTACTTATCCTAGAAGGTCAAAGCATAGATTGTCTGCTGCCAAGCAGTGCCCCAGTGCCTCTTGGGTTTGCCGAGTCACTGGGATAAAAATGATCCTTTACAAAGCCTTAGGATGTATGCATCTTTTTTGGGAATAGTTTTTTTTTTTTTTCATTGCCTTGTTTTTTGTTTGTGTTACAGAAAAAAGAGTTTGATGTGGATAACCTCAGTAAATCCGAGCTGCGGATGCTGCTCAGTGTGATGGAAGGGGAGCTAGAGGCCAGAGACCTCGTCATCGAGGCCCTGCGGGTAAGAACATTCCAGGGCTGGGTCTCCTTGCTGTGTCGTTTTCTTTTTTCAAAAGGCAGTGGCAAAACTTTTTCCTTAATTTTTGAATCAAATAGATTTAAAGTGTTACATCTGGTTAAAATGTGCCCCTCATCACAAGCACCAACCCATAATCTTTATAAGCACAAACAAGAAGTCGACGCTCATTGCAGTGATCGGGGCTGGGAGTAAACTGTTTAATATGAGAAACTGGAGAAATCAGCTGTATTAGTTCATAAATCTTTTTATGTTTCCCATGCCTGTTTGGTTAAAAACATATGTTTGTATAAAAGTGGTAATATGATATCCTACATGTATGCAAGGGCAGTGAGGAAAAAATTAAGAGAATTATTTATTTTAAAAAGTACTGATAATCTTTTTCCTTCTTATGTAAATTATAAATGGTTGTTTTTTATTTTCAGAAACTCATGAGTTAAAAAAGCTTATATGTACATGTCTTCAAATATTTTTATTTGATCTTTCAGTAATTTTGGAATATTTGCATAATTACTTGTGGAGGATATATTACTGAAATGCCTCAATAAAGGTTTCTTTTTGAAAAAACAATGTTCATTAAACTTTCTTGATGCAGAGTTTTCTAATTGGGTATTTTGGATCTTACAATTGTTTTGGTATGTTAATCAAAGGTAAGTTTATTTTTTTTCTTCTTTTATATTTAATGTTTTGTATGGAAACAGTTCACCTGGCCAAAAGGGATATTTACTATAAATAAAGTATGGGTTTATCTTATTTCACCAGGAAGTATTTCCTCAAACTTTGTCGTAGGGAGTTTATTTTGACGTATGAAAATCTGTGAAATACACCAAATTGTTGCCTGTGACAGGATCTTATATGGTATAGGAGGGAGGTAGTAATGGTGGATGGTCAGACATATGGAGAAGGCAGATGTGGTGAAAACCCAGTTGTGTGCGAAAGTTGGCACAGTAGGGATAGTGATTATTCCTCAATTTGATGACAGAGGACAATTGCCTCAGAAAAAACAGGAATATAGTTATGTCATCTGCATGCTAATATTGACTTGAAGGTGTTGCTTTTTGCATGACACGTTGTGGTAAGTAGGTTGCACAGTTTGATTGTGAGAGGTGTTCATCCTGTTCCACATTTGGAACATGTGCATTGCTTGCCAATGTATATTTTCTTGAATGAGTTTTTTGGGAGAAATGCTGACGCAGTAAGTGTATCATGAAAATGTGTGACTCTCAGCCCAAGAACAGAGTAGAGGCACAGTCACCTTTTGAGGCCAGTAATATATAATCTCTTGAGACCAAGCAGAAGTGAAAGGTTCCAGCTCTACCTTAGGTTTTTTCCATACCTCTCTGCTAACCTGTGAAAGGCATCAGCACTGTGGAATTCCCCGGTGCTGACCTATATGTTTGAACATTTAGAGGATTCTGTGTTTTTGTTACCTCAGCAACCACATGTGTTTCTCTTTTTAACTTAATTACAGTACTTTCAAATGTAAGAATAGAGGTAGTCTTGCTAATAATCAGGACTTGCCAAAGTGAATGTTTTTCATAGAATCAAGGAATGTTAGAATTACAAGGAGCCTTAGATGATATCATGTCATAGGTCAGTGATTTACATCCCTTTGAGATCCATTTTCATAAAATATTTTGTATTACCCTTCTATTATCTTGTAATTAAATTTATGGATAATTACATGTATAAGCAGGTTATGTTGAAAATACAAAACCAATGCATTGCCCTTATTGAGATGTAAAGATAATAGGTAAGTGATTTATAATAAAATATATATATTCCTGAATGAGTGCTCAGGCTTGACTGCACTGGAAGGCATGAAGTAGGTGGCTGTTTGCACCTATTCATAGCATCACCATGAGTGCAATAGTTGCAAAAGAATCCTGATCCTGGTATGCCACATTGTTGACTCAGATCCAGTGAGCAGATTTGCTGTGGGTGAGGTAATTTTTCTGAAATGGTGAATGACTCTTTTAAAGTTACAAACAAAAGTACACATTACATGGGTGTTGAATCCCTGCAAAAGTTGGTTAGCTAAAACAATGAAAACAACTTGTTTATAGGTAAAAGGAGTTACTGTCTAGGCTCAGATGGTCATACTGATGGTTATATCAAAGAATGAACAGAGGGATGTTTGAATGTTGTTCGGGACATGGGACTGGTTCTGGATGTGTAATAATCCCTTCTCTCTGCCCCCAAAGTGCCAATCACTATGAGAACTAAAAAACTCTCTTGACTGTTTCTAAAACACTGCCAGGGTACAGCTCCTGTGGACAACCACTGGCTGAGATCAGTCTCCTTCATTTATAGATCAAAATCAGGCAAACAAAAAGGAAACCTGAAAAGATCACGACTTATCTAAGTCATAAATGTGGCGTGCGTGAGAGTCAGCTGATTCCTTTTTCACATAGCCTCCCATTTGGAACTCAGTGTATATGGAGATTCTTAAATCTTTTTGTTATTTTTTAAAATTGAGAATTGTGATTGATTTATTTATATTTTAATTTTAATAAAGTTTTGTATAATATAACTAATATAATTGTATAATATTAAATTTAATAATAAATTGTTATTATAAAAATGGCATTATTATACTACTCTTAAAAGAGGTCTTTTTTAAGCTACCTGTGGTAGCTGTCATAGACTCACTGTGGTGATTTACTGGTTGACTATTCCCTGGGGCATTCACTGGGACTATTGAAATGTTTACTTGGGTCCAAGTGTGTCACTTAGTTGCCTTTACCTTTAGTAACAGAATGTAGGTTAGTGACTGACTAATGCCCTAAAGAGAAATTGGGAAGTAGAGAAGACGTGAAACTTTCATTTTTATTTCATATTATGAGATAAAATTATTCTTAAATTAAGAATCAAAATCTCACAGTGATCAGTATGCTGCTATTCATACCGATGAATATGGGAAATTGGGAAAGAAGTACTTTTTTTCTTAAAAGTCAAAAGTAATATTTCTCTGAATATAGTAAATATTTTTAACTTATATAAATTATGAAGATATAAAGATTTGTACCTTACACTTCATTAAATTTAGAAATGATTCTGTTGCAAGGTATTCAAATTCTTTAGAATTGTAAAATCTTTAAGAATATATTTCATACCAAGCTATTTTACTTTTTAAGTCATGCTATCCTGATGCTTTTTTAAAATTTTAATTTCAGTTTTAAATTTTAACATTTACTCATACATATTTGTGGGATACGGTGTTTGAATACATGCGTATACTGCACTGTGATTCACTTAGGGTAGATAGCATAGGTTTGTACCCATTAGTCCACTACTGCTCCCACAGCCCTCCCACCCTCTCAGCCTCTGTTAACCATTATTCTACTTTCTACTTCTATGAGAAACACTTTTTTTTAGATTCCACATATGAATGAAATTGTGCGGTAATTGTCTTTCTGTGCTTTGATTCACTTAACATGGTAGTTTCCACTTCCATCCATGTTGCTACACATGACAGCAATTCCTTTTTTTTTAATAGCTGAATAGTATTTTATTGTCTATATATACTGCAGGGTTTTTTATCCATTCATCTTTTGATGGGCATTTAGGTTGTTCCATTTCTTGGCGATTGTGAATAGTGTTCCAGTAAACATGGGAGTACAGGTGTCTTTTCAGTATATTGATTTCATTTCCTTTGGGTATTTACTCAGTAGTGGGATAGCTGAGTTGTAAGGTACATCTATTTTTAGTTCTCTGAGGAACCTCCATACTGTTTTTCACAATGGCTGAAACAATTTGTTTTCCCACCAACAATGTAGGAGAGTTGCTTTTTCTTTGCATCCTCGCCAGTGTTGTTTTCTGTCTTGTTGATAACAGCCATTCCAACTGGAGTGAGATATTTCATTGTGGTTTTAATTTGCATTTCCTGATGATTAGTGATGTTGAGGCTTTTCTCCTGTGCCTATTTGTTGGCCGTTTGTAAATCTTCTTTTGAGAAATGTCTGTTCAGATCCTTAGCCCATTTTTTAATTGCGTTATTAGTTTTTTGGCTGTTGAGTTGAGTTCCTTTGCTGTGGATATTAGCCCCTGTCTGATGTGTAGTTGGCACACACTTTCTCTCATCCTGTAGGTTGTCTCTTCACTTTGTTGATTGTGTCCCTTGCTGTGTAGAAGCTTTTTAGTTTGATGGAATCTCATTTGTGCATTTTTGCTTTTAGTTGCCTATGCCTTTGTAATCTTGTCCAAAAAAAGTTCTGCCCACTTCCAATGTGTGTAGTTTTTCCCATTTTCTTCTAGTAGTTTCATGGTTTCAGGTCTTAAATTTAGGTCTTTAATCCATTTTCTTCCACCGATGTTTTTGATTTTTGCATATGGTGAGAGAGAGTGGTCTAGTTTCAACCTTCTGCATGTAGATATCCAGTTTTCCCAATACCTTAGTGAAGAGTTGTCCTTTCCCCAATGTACATTTTTGGCACCTTTATCAAAAATCAGTTGGTTGTAAGTGCATAGGTTTATTTCTAGGCTCTCTATTCTGTTCCATTGATTCATTTGTCTGTTTTATGCCAATACCATGCTGTTTTGGTTACTATAGTTTTATAGTATGTTTTGAAGTAAGGTGGTGTGATACCTCCAACTTTGTTCTTTTTGTTCAAGATTGTTTAGCTATATGGGGTCTTTTGAGGTCCCATACAAACTTTAAGGTTATTTTTTTCTATTTCTTTGAAGAATGTTATTGGTATTTTGATTGGAATTATGTTGAATCTGTAGATTGCTATGGGTTATGTGGACATTTTGATGATCTTAATTCTTCCAGTCCATGAACACAGGGTATCTTTCCATTTATTTGTGTCATCTTCAGTTTCTTCCACCAATGTTTTATAGTTTCAATGTAGAGGTCTTTCATCTACTTGATTATATTTACTCCTAGGTAAGTTTTTTGTTTTTGTTTGTTTGTTTTGGTAGCTATTGTGAATGAAATTACTTTCTTGATTTCTCCTTCAGCTATTTTGTTATTGTCATATAGG